AAAGTAAAATACATGATTGGGATATTAAATACAAACAATATCTACTAGCTATTTACTGAAAAAATGAAAAAAAAAAATGTTGAAACATTTTTTTCCTAAAAGAAAAAAAAAACAAAAACATTTTCATATATATTTTTTTATATATATTTTTTTTGTTTATAAATGTACATCATTCATTAAATTTGTATTTATGATGTCAAACCACATCCAAATGAGCAAGTATTTTTATTATTATTTTGTCTTAAAAAGGATCACAAAAAGAATGAAGATCAATCAAGACAACTGTTTGTACAGACAAAACCGATAATGATCACCAGAGGTATATGATGTACAATTACATTTAGTCATTTACGTTATCCATTCATTCATTCAATCATTAATTTATTACTTTTTTCATTATATAATTAGATTTTATGATATTGTAACTGGTATTTTCAGATACAAATTGATGTGCAGACAAAAGAAAAAAATGTTTTTGAAGCTCAGCTTCATAATCTTTTCATAAAATGTAAGTTTTTAAATTTTAATCAGAATCTCAGACTGATCCTGTAGTCATTAAGGATGTTGTTGGTGTACCATCATTGCCTAATTCACCCATAACTACATGCACACCTTATGTTAGTGAAGGAGAATCAACCCCACTTTGTCAAAGTGATGGAGATACAACATTTAATCCAGATGACACATACCTTTCGTAAGTATGATAGTATATAACTGTGTTGTTAAATGACTGAAAAAACTTTAAAAAATGTTAATGCTACACCAATAAAATTCATAGACCTATTTGTAAATTTTCCATGAAGTTAATCTATTGGCTACAATTTATTTTATACTATTATTATTAAGGTTTGACAATGATGACAGCAGTGCATCAAATAGACCTGCAAACGAAAAGAAATATATTGTTTTTGAAGCTCAGCTTCTCAGTCTTTTCACAAAATGTCAATCTTGCAATGCTGAGACAAAGGGAAAGATTGTACATAGGATTGGTACATTTATTGTGATACGCCAGCAATGCAGAATCTGTGATTACACCAAAGAATGGAGCAGCCAATCTATGGTAAATGATACACCAGCAGGGAATATCCTAATGTCAGCTGCTCTGCTATATTCTGGGTCCTGCGTGTCAAAATCTTTGCGAATGTTAAAATTCCTTAACTTGGTATCAATTTCGGAAAGAACATTTTATAGACATCAAGACATTTTCTTACATCCATGTATCACCACTGTATGGCACAATGAAAGGGAAAAGTCTTTAGAAACTGTTAAATGCTCTGAATCCGTGGTGTTAGGAGGTGATGGAAGAGCCGACAGCCCCGGCCATACTGCTAAGTTCGGCTCTTACTGTCTGATGGAGCTAAATACACACAGAGTTATTGACATTCAACTTGTTCAAGTAAGAACTGTTTAGATGATTTTAATATTTCAAAAACTACAAAAATTACATTAGTTATATATTAACTTTATATTACAGTACAGTATAAAAAATATAGTGTGTCAAAGACAGTGATACAGGCCTAATATTCAAACTTAACTGTACACACTTCTTTCTACCATCAGAAAAATACAGTAGGAGGAAGTTACCACATGGAATTAGCAGGACTCAAGCTTGGTATCAATGCCTTGAAGTCACAAAACATCCCCATTAATGTCCTTGTCACTGACAGACACATTCAAGTGGCCAAATGGATACGCGAAAATATGAAAAACACCAAACATTATTATGATGTTTGGCATGTTGCTAAAGGTAAATTACTGGTTATTAAACAGGTAATTAAACAAACACTTAATATTATTGAAAAAGTATTTAATTAATTTTTTTTTTAACATTACTTAGGTATAAGAAAGAAGGTTCAACACTTTCAAAAAAATCAGAGTGTGCAATTGTAGGTGAATGGGCCAAAAGCATCAACAACCACATCTACTGGACAGCCATGTCAACTCCCAGTGGTAATGGTAAAGAAATGGTTGCCAAGTTCCAAAGCCTGACCAACCATATGCAAAATATACATTCGGGCCATTCGGAAATATTTCCAAGATGTCTGCACCCTCCATTAGAAGATAACAGGAAAAAAAAATGGTTGAAACCGGGTACAGAAAAATTTTCCATATTTAGTAGTTAAATTTCAACCAATATTTACTTACAGTAATCACACTAAACACTTGCATGCAGACTTAAATAAATAAATGTCCATTTTTTCAGGATCAAAGGCATGTGAAATGTTAAGTGACATCCTTGACAAACCGCGCCTTCAAAATGATATTAGCATGTTAAGTCCGCTTGGACAACTTCGTCAGTAGAGGGTTTCCATGGAACCATTATACATTTCGCACCAAAAATGTTGGCATATTCCTATAATGGAATGTTGAGCAGGTAGGTAATACAGTATATAATTATTATATAATTTAGCTGGGGCTTAGGGCACATAGAAAAAAAAATTGGTTAGATTATCACATTCGTCCATGTCATAAAATTAGGAAATATTGATGCAGGAATAAAAAAAAAATTTTTTTTTGCTGCATCATTTATTGTTATGGAAAAGTACACCCATCTGAATAGACCTAGGCCTAAATGTTTTTTGGCTTATGATATATATTTTGTTCTATAAATTATAAGTATTTTAAGGTTTGTATGTAATAGTAGTTTAGGAATTACAATCAAATAAACTGTAGGCCTACCAACAAATTTGCAGGTTGATGTTGGCTGCGCTCCACTACAATGAGAACGCTGGTAGGATAAGTTTGAAAGATAAGGATGGGAATGATAGGTATAAAGTGGTGTTTCCACGAGCGAAGAGTGGAGGCTATACTTTGAAAAAGATTTTGTCAAATCCAACTTTTGGTGAGCATTTTATTTATAGCATTACTAAAACTAGTACTGTATTAGCAAACATTAGCCTAGCCTAGTCCTACATAACGCTAATTATACTAGGCCTATGTTTATACTCCCGGTTATATGGTTATACTGTATGCCTAGGCCTACTACTAGGCTACGTAGAACTAGGCCTAATTAATATTTAGCACTTACCTCTTCTCATTGTTTATCTCTGAACATTTTACAAAACTCTTCCGAAAAGTCCGTAGTACATTTATCGTATCCAAAATAAATATTCACTTAGCACATGTTTTGTTGATGTTAATAAAACAATCTTGAATCTTGCGGTTTCGTTAAACAGATGCTGAAGTCAGGGAGGTAACAAAATTCGCCTGTTGTTTCTACTATGCTACTATAATTACTACTACTACTGCACTGTATTGAAAACACTACTACCCCATGCGTTTTTGTGTTAAGACTGAATACAAATTATGTTTTCATGCGCTTTAACAAAATTATAACATTTGACGTTTACGCGCTCACATTGACACGTGTGTAAAATGCGCGAACACTCGATCTGAGTCAGTGGCGATGCTAACCAATAATTCTATTTTACATACCATAATTATTGCAATTCTCTAATATTTTTAATACGCAGATTATGTTAAGGAGCTCATAGATCTCACTCTTGATATGTGTGGAGCCGGTAGTGGACAACTTGATGGCATAATTCTTCCACCTATTCCACCACCACCTGTTTGTCACTCACTGTTTAGACCATCAAAAGAAGACGCAATCTTGGAGCATAGGTCAAGATTCGGGACTAATGCTCCTAACAAATGAAAGCAGTCTTATCAACTGAAGCCAGTTTTCACCCGACTTGTTGCCGCTTCATGTCAATATTCAAACCAAACGGCTCTTTTCAGAGCCACCATTTAAACAAAAGAGAGATAGCATTTTGTCATTAAAAAAATAATTTTGTTTTTAGATAAATATTTATTTATTTATTTATTTATTTTTTTTTTTTTTTAGCATTTTTAATTCCTACAGACAGTATTGTATACATATATAATATCTCTTACGTTTCAGTATTTCTAGGACCCTGGATATACACGTGACCATTTTAATATGTGTAATATTGAAACGCGTACTCATAACACGCGCGAACCATGTCTATCACTAAAGAAATAAGCAATGCATGACACGAGGGTTTTCGTCTACTACTACAGTCAAAGAGTAAAATACTCTGCTACAAATACAGTTAGCTCGGCCTATAGTTTATAGTAGTAGTAGTACTAGGCCTAGTAGGACATCGTATTTTTGAGTGAAACGTTTCGGAGTACTACAGGTGACGCGACGTTAACGTAAAACTTACATGTAAACATTGTTGAACTTGCTACACGAACTATTTATGATGAAGAATAATGATTTTAATTACGTACAGTAAAGAAGATAGGATTTTGCCCATGCACAGTAAGTAACGACACAAGATTACTACTGAAATGGTTTTCGACTGTAGCTAGTTTATTTAAAATGATTGTACAGTATGTATATCGAGATGTAAGTGCATATGGAGTAAGTGTAGTAGGCATGTATGTCCATATAACATATTAGAATTATTATTAAATACAACAGTTGTAAGGTAACACGTTATATAAACAAGTTACAAACAACGATATTTCAATAATTAATAAACAATCCATGAACAACATTAAAGAATAAGTGAATGACACTGTATGTAGTCTGGGCAGGCCTATGAGTTAGTAGAGAATGCATCTCGCTACCTTTTTTAGTTTAGTATTTACTTGCGAAAAGGCCGGCCTTTTCAGATTTCATTAAGTAGGCCTAGGCCCCTAATTAAAATATTTAATAATCATACAAGATTTAAATTTCCTCTAATTTTCCAAGTTTAAAGCCTGTATATCCCTCATCTTGAGGGCTAGGAAAATGTTGTCGAATAGCTGTAACAACACAAGCTGGCAAAATCACACGATTTTCTCTTCCTAAAAATCCCCAGCAGCTCCGCACAAGATTTCTGTAGGCGATGTATCTATACTTCCTGTTAAAAAGCACAACATAAAATAAGATGAATTATAACAAAAGTTATTTTTAAACTTAAAGAACATCCATAACACAGTATTATTGTATGCAATGTTTATCCTGCTACAGACAGTGCTGTATATTATGAAGATTTGTATATTGTGAAGATTATTATTCGGACTAATATAGTCTTACTATCTATTCATCAGTGATTCATTCTGTCTCACACGGTACTATTTAAAGACAACTTAAAACGTAGATTCAGGATTAAATTTCCAAGGCTGTACTGCAAAGGGATGATACAAATATTAATATACTCACTCCTCCTTAGAATGTGGAACCACAGCCCTGTCACCATATTGCTGTCGGTAAGACAAGAAAGATATCTGAAGTACCCACTCATTTAAGCAAATGCTTGTAAAACCAGGGTGGGTAGTGATGCATTGGCCTGCCATGCCGACCTTTTCCATTTTTGATACAATGATTGGTATCTCATTGCAGCATTTAGATTCTTTTGTCGTTGTCATAATTTTACAATTGGTACACGTACACCTGTTTTTGTAGTACAATTAAGAAATAAAACAGCACTTTATTCAACAACACATTATCATCGCTGAATCAGTACATATACTAAAAATACTATTCATTATTAATTAATAATTTTTACCAATGTACATATACTAAAAATACTATTCATTATAAATTAATAATTTTTACCAATGCCATACTAAATTTGGCTAACACACTGGTCTCTCAATTGAGGTAAAAAGGCATAATTTTGTTAGTGTTTGTAAACACTAATATTATAAACAGGCTGCTGCCAGACAAGGACTGAACGATATTCGTTAAAGACCAACAAGACAGCAGCAATTCAGGCACAACCTGGTTGCACATTATCAAACAGGACTTAGGCCTAGTAGTAGAGGAGGACTGTAGTAGCCTAGAAAAATTTAGTGGCGGTGGTAGCTGGCTTATGTGCTTTCAATCTGCGTTCAGATGTATCAACAAAACTGTCTATTATTACAGACAGGGCCTAGTCAGGCCAACCATATGTTATTTTCAAATAATAATTACTATAATTTATAAATCAATATTTTTTTTGGTAGGTAGACACCTCATAAGGCTAGGCCTAGTTTATCGCTATTCTATGTCGTCGCTTACCAGTGCATATTCAAAAGTCGGTTTGGCTCTTCGGATTCGTGATCATCATCTTCTTCTCTGTTTTGTTCTTGTTCATAACAAGGCTCATATAAATATGGACCACAGCCAAGGTCAGGGTCTCCCTCTTCCGATGAGGAAGAAGTGAAATCATCTCCATTGTCCATCATTGTTGGTACTATATTTTCATTCGCGCTAGCCTACCGTCTGGTTTGTTTTGATTTCGCGCTTCGATGAATTTTGGGAAAGTCGGTCACCAATGACGTCATTGAGTGACCTCCGTTTCTAAGGTCCTTCGTAAAAATGACACTTCAAACTCATTTTTTTCGTACAAAATCAATTTTATTCGTAATATATCACCAACACTTGTGTTTATAATATATTTATAAATATAAACACGCTGTTATTATAAAAATTGTCAGAATAGGTGGCAGAGGCACTTTAATAAAATTGCCTTAATATACAAATTCAAATGTGAAATTAGAATTTTCGTTTTTCATGACCCAAATTCGAATTCAAATAAACATTTATTTCCTCACACAACATAACAATGATAAACATTAAACAACCAGATTTCATTAAAAAAAAGAAGAATTGTGTGAAATTGCATTGCTCAAAAGTATACGCCAAATGACAAAAGAAAAACCATTTATCAAGTGGCACTTGTAGCGAGCGACTACATAATTACGAAAGCATAAATGTCATTGAAATAAATTCATAAATGAAACAAGTACAAAACACGGATACAACACGGAGCAGATGGGGGAAGTGGAGAAATGATTAGGCAAAACTTTGTCAATATTAGAATTAAAGGGTATTATTAAAAAAGGGCAATTCCATGCAAAATGGACAAAGCACCTACATTTTCATATTCATTCTATATTTACAGTTTTGGTGACTAATTAAAGCTTGAAACATACTTTCAAGATGTAAACTCAGATTTTAAAATTTCAAATCAGAAGTATCGTTAAATATTAATTTAAATGTCAATAAATAATTTTTTTATTTTGATAAATTTTCACAGACAAACTTACCAAAATACTGTAGACTAAGATGAAACTTTAAATTATATTAAAATCTAGTTTAATATGGTCAAATGGCTTACTAAGAACACATATTTTCATTCAGTTTTACTTTTGCCTATGTTTTACTAATCAAAATGCGAAAATATTAAACCCAATAAATATGTCATTTAGTTACCGGAAAACAACATAAAATAAAGTTAACTTTTTACAAAAAATATATAATGATTAAACAATACAACTTTATATACAAAGCTAGTTTTAGTAGGGCTATCTAGTGGCATTAATTTTATTTCCTAATTCATTTTTTTTAAATAAGTTATTAGCATATTAAATATGTCATTTAGTTACCGAGCTGGTAACTAAATGACGGTAGCACAATGACAAGTCAAAATTTGTATTGAAACAGTTCAGTTTATTTGCAATAAAGTATGTTATTGAATGAATTTTCAAGTTTATATACTCACAAGGATGTTATTTGAGTTTAATTATACAATAAACTATTTTTACAATTTCCACTGAATAGCTAATATGCAAATGATCAGTTTCTTATTTGGCATATTCTCAGACTAAGGGCCTGTTACTATTTAGGTCTGGTTTTGGTGTTATTTGAAATAACATTGCAATTTTGTGACAAAATTTTAATCACTGATCATTTGTGATTGGATACTTTCCTGCCAAAGGTCTAGCCTTGTTCGCACTGGCTAACCAGCATCTCGGCTACTTTTATTACTGAAGGAAGTGTGCCCAGATGCATGAAGACTGACCAGACAATTTTTACCGATCTAGAAAATTCAGTATGGATAGTATGACTTAGTATGGCATCTCTGAGCACATGCTAATAATACCACACGCATTGCAAAGCTTTTGAATTTCCCTGTATAGTCTTGGTCAAATTTAATCCGATGCGAATATGGTTGAATACGTTATGTTGAGCATGTTAAGGATGTGTTAAAACCCATATCAGATTTACGTCATTTAGTTACCACTCATATTAATATAATTTTTTTAATAACAGAAAGTGATTTTCAAAAAAAAAAATCATTCTGTATAATATAGAGGAAGCTATTTGTTATGAAAAAAATGTATTTTTTTAGTTTATTGGCAAAAGCACCTTGTGGTACATGTGTTTGAAAATACAAATCTGTGTCAGAATGTCATTTATTTACCATGGAATTGCCCATAAATAAACTCTGATTTTGATTTTATTTAAACATACTGTACTTTAGATAAGAGATATTCCTTGACCTTAAGAAAGAAAATTTTTCTGAAAGAGGCCGATATAATTTTAAGGGGGAGTTCATTAAAAAGTTTGGAACCACTTTATCGAATTGTGTTGGAGTAAAGTAAGTTTGGGTAGAGGAAGGTGAAGGTTGTCACAAATTCTGGTGTTGTATTAGGATGTAAATCTGAGTTTTTAAAGAAAGGGCAAAGGTTGGCAGGGAGAAGGGAATTAGTAACTTCATAAACAAAGATACATTGTTGTAAAATATGTATATCCAAAACAGACAACTGACTCAAAGCAAAAAAAAAAGGTGGAGAATCAGCATGGAATGGAGCATCTGAAATTATACGGACAACTTTTTTTGGAGCTTGTGAATTTGTTCAAGATTGGATTTATAATTGTTTGCCCAGATAATATTGCAGTAACTAATAAAAGGAAGAACAAGGGATGAACAAGAGAGAAGTATCACTTGGAAGAAAGAAAGAAAGAAAATTGGGTTGTCTCCAATATAAATACTACCTATCTCGTCAAATCTGGATTTATGGCGGCTTCCGAACAGCATGAAGATGCATTTTTCAACATTAACTGAAAGTTTATTAACATTAAAGTATTCAGTGACATTTTTTAGTTCATGATTAATGGAGTGGAAAAGAGAAAAAAAGGTTAAAATCTGAACAGAATATGGTGGTATCGTCAGCATTAAGGTAAAAAGTTAACATTTAGATGAGTTGGGTAAATCATTAATGTAAAGAAGAAACAAAGAGGACCAAGAAGGGAACCTTGGGGGACACCTTAAGTTAAAAATTTGAAATTTGAAGAAGTGCCGTTAAAGTTTGTACATTGTAGACGATTAGCTAAATAATCTTTAAATAAATTTAGGGCAGTTCCACGATACCATGATTGAAAAGTTTAGAGGTGAGAATATTGTGGTTGATAGTGTAAAAAGCTTTTGATAGGTCAATAAATATACCAGCAGAAAAAAGATGAACAATTGAATCAGAGATATTAATAAGATCGATTAAAGCAATTTCAGCTGTAAAGTATTTTTTTCTAAACCCAAATTGCCTGCAATAATTATAAGAATATTATGTTTGGTGGTAAAATTATATGTACGATCATAAATAATTTTTACAAGAATCTTAGAAAATAAAGAAAGAATTATTCGGATCAGATTAATCACCTTTCTTAACAATAGGTGTGACTTTTGCAATTTTAATGCTGTTCGGAAACACTCCGCGAGTGAGGCATATGTTGAAGATATGTGAAAGTAGGAAAATGATAGGGTAAATAGAAAATTTAACAACTTTGTTATTGATGTCATCAATGCCTGATTGTACATCTTTAATAATTTGCTTTTATCTATTGTTACAGTAAGTTTATAGCCGTCATTTCTATTTTTCACAATATATGTTCAACTGTTTAAAAAAAATCATATACTAAATGGCATTTTTGTAATATCAATTCTTAATATTTTGACCTTTGACCTCATTTTTTGAGGTGATGCATTGGTTATGAGGGTCTTTTTATATTATTTTCTTAGTTTTTGTATTATTCTGTGCATCTTGACACCAAAATCAACCATATATCATTGAGTGTTCCCAAGATACATATTTTAGTGTTTTAGGTTGGGTCAAAGCCCCAAAAACATAATTTCCCCACTCTCCTATACCCCTAACTTTGTTTTGGTGTTATCCTAGTATGTATTCCTACACAAGTCAGTTGAAATCACATTCATTTTAATATTTTAAAATGAAATATGCCAATTTAGTGACTAAAAATACAATTTTGACCTTTGACCTCATTTTCCAAGGTCATGAATTGGTTCTGGGGGTCTTGTTTTATATTTTTTTTATTTGTTGTATAATTCTGTGCATTTTGACACCAAGATCAACCATATACCATAAAGTGTTCCAGAGATGCATTTTTTAGTATTTTAGACCAGGGTCAATGACCTTTGACCCCTCATAAAAAATTTTCCCCACCACTAGCCCACATGACTTTTTTTTGGTGTATCCTGGTATGTACACAAATCAGTGGAAATCTGCTTCTTTCTAATTTTGGTGTATCCTGGTATGTATCTCTACACAAATCAGTGGAAATCTGCTTCTTTCTAATTTTTTCGCAGATTGGCCCAAATTTGGGTTAATTTTGGGATACTATAAACATTATTTTAATGAACGTAGGTACTGCACGTTTATATTGAAATCGGGGTGGTGATTGGTTGCACAAAGGTGAGTAGGGGGGTTGATGATCAGTTGCGGGATGAAAGTCGCAAAATAAGGTGATTTTAGGTGATTTTTAACTACTTGCAAGTGATTTTTTGGGGAGGTGCGAATGTGGGGGCACAAGTAATTTTTAGGATGTGAGTCTCTCCACCCCCCCCCGGTTCCCTGTGCCCGAATGCAAATTGTTAGCTCAAAATAGGAAATTTTAAAGTAATTCGTACTTAACTCGCACAGGCTGTTGTTCGCACAAGTGAATCTTTTTTCCGCTCGAACTAGCATCCGCTCAAAAGTGGAATCCACTCGAATTGACTGGTTCCCCAGCTAGTTCTGCCACAGACATGTTTGTCATCACTTAAAGATGTCTACCGACTCGTGGAAAAGGCATATTGGATTTGCTGCAGCTTTTAAATAAACCTAATAGGCTAGCCTGGGCCAAAAATAAGCATTGGCCTATTTGATGTGAGGTAAAACATCTGGCCTAGGTAGCCTAGGATAGTATGTTTAATACATAACCTAAAGTACTTTAGGCCTAGCCTAGTTCAAGCATTTTATTTTGAAAATTGCGCACGCATAGCATAGGTAAAGGTCTCGCCCCTTCGGCGTTAGGGATTATGACCGGTTGAGCCGCCTACAAGTTGAGCCGCCGGTCATTTCTATGGAACGCCAAGCGCGTCTCTCAGTGAATGTAGTGCGTTAATTGCGGCGTATTTCAATTAACTTATTCGTTCTTGGTACTGTTATTTGGGATGTATTTCAGTTTATTTACTTAATTGTTTCAATTTATTTAATACTCGGTTTTTGCACTGATTTATTAAATATTTTTGGGATGTATTTCAATT